AAACCCAACTCTCATGCCATTAGAAAGAGGATCATGAAAAACCTATAAAAAGATGGTTCATGAAATTTTAGTTCACTCATAAAGCTAAAGTCCGCTTGCTCTAGCAAAAAATGCCCACTGTGTGCTGGATGTTAAAACTGATCGTGTGTGCTACACTAATTTGTTTCAATTAACGTAGGTATTGAAAGATGCTAAGATTCTCCGCGAGTATTTTTCAGTTAAAATTCTTCTTATAGCCATGAGAAGAGATTTGTTGCATGTATATGTTGTAATATGCGCTATTTCCACTATCAAGTTTTTTAAGCTTTTTTTCTAAAATAATTAATTTAATAGTGTATCAGTTATGAGAAGTGACTTAATCTTCTACTGTTATTTTGTCTTGAAAAACATTAAGTTTATTTTGTGAAAATACAATATAAAGGATGTATTTGATACTTTTCGACAAACTAATTAAACTGAGTTCGAAACATTGTCAGAACAATAATTCAGCTTAGCTAATCTTTTGATATTGTAATAAAAATTTCACGTTTTGAAAATTTTTCCTGGCCTTTTTTTTTGCATTTATCATATTTCACTATACATTTTGAGTGAAACATGTTTTCGTAACAGGAATAACCAACTTTGTGTGTAATCGATATCATCTCGATCAACAACCGGATGTCTATAGCAACATGCTAAAATTGGATAAGGTGATAGAAATATACCACCACATTTCATTACATTTTCTAAACAAATTATTCCTTTATCATCAATCAATTGGATTCCGCCTAAATGACGAAATATGCCACTAATAAAGTCAATTGAGTTGATCTGATCAAAAAAGATATTTGGAAATAAATCTATAACGTGATTGAGTTTTCGGAGAGCGCTATCAGTTAGTATGTAAAATTCGCTACTAACATAATTCACTATCTGGTCCGTAGTAATGTCCATGTTGAAATGAGGATGCAAGTACCGTTGAATTGGTTTCAATGAAATTTTATCTCGTATCTTACCAATTAAAACAGGCGGAAGAACAGAAAATTGCTTGGAAAAACTAGAACAAAATGCGCAATATCAAAGTATTTTCTCATTTTCGAAAACATTTAAAATAATAGTTCATTTGTCTTCTAATGATTCAGTGTCAGGACAAAAGAAAGACGTTAACAAGAGAGGCGTAAATTTTTGGAAAAACGCTAAAAATAATCTGAGCGGCCATATTCATAGAAAAACATCGTTTCTGCCACAAGACTGCAATTTTCATAAAAAGTATGTTGTCTGTCTTGTGTTGGAAACTCTTTATTATAAACAACAGAATGCGCCTTTAAATGAAGGTGTTTCCGCGCAACTCGGTCTGTTCACTTTATATACGAATTGAAGTCGGATGAATCCCACTGTGCTTATCTTGTAAAGCATCCCTAGTTATGTAGTTAACCATATTTTTTCTTAAGAAATCGTACTAAACATAGTAAGCATCCTTGGGGAAGCACTTTTCTTATAAGAGACCCAAGTATGCTTAATTTTTATTTTAACAAAGTATTTTAAAATTCTGTTAGATACGTCACTGGACGAAGCTTGAAAAGTTGTATCTATGACATAAGTTTTATGGTTACATATGGCATGGGCATCGCACGGTTTAGCTCCAAAACACGAGACAAATAAGAAAGGCTCGTTTAGCTCTAGTATTTTTCAGTAAAAACGGTAAGTGTCCAACATTCCACGGTCAGAATTTATCTTAAATCATGTTCTTTCGAAACAGGCAAAAATAAGTCATCCAGCTTTTTTCGCGAACGAAAAAAGCTGGAAAAATGTGTAATACGCGCGTTTCTTGCACAACTCCTTTCTTGACAAAAAGCTTCCTAGGGATGGATTGAGATATGAGACTTTTGTAACACTGGGCTAGAGTTTTCCATCAAAAAACTTTAGGCTAAGTTTTTTCAAAATGAACCTTGGAAGACTCTATTGTTTTATCATAATGACGCTCTGGCCATATGTATTCGAGCTTTGAGGTGTTGGAAGAAAACAAAAAAGAAAATTTTTTCTACTTTTTCGAAAAATTTTGCGTAGAGTTAAAATGAGCTGAAAAACTGAAACGATCGAAAACCTCATTTCTTGTCAAAAAAACTAAGTTCTTTATAACCAAAAGAACTTAATTTAGTTCTGCAACCACTTCTTTGAAAAACTAAATAACACGACTTTTACATAACTGAAAATCGAAAAATTTCAGAAAAGAGAGGGATACCCTTAAATACTTTAACTAACTTTCGACGAGACGCTTAAACTGCATTTTCATTTGTTCAAGATGGTTTTAATTCCCCAACGCTTTAAGGACAACCTCTCTGTTTTCCACCCTGTTGGTAAAAGTTAGAAGCGAAAGTCGAATTGAGTCCAAACACAAGAAACATCTAATTCTCGCTCTCGTACGAACACACCTTTATTTCGACAACTATGGCTGTTATCGTTGATATGTTAGATGATGAGACTGGCACTAACGAGAAAAGAAGACAAAACAGTCAGTTATAAATCACAAGACACTATGCCGCTCGTGTCGCGTCTGTCCGACCATCCATAAGAGGGAGAGAGTAATAGAAAATGCAGAAACAGCTATTTTGCCCCCGAAACCTCTTCAAACTTAAAATTTCGTTTTTCCTTCTTATGAAGGAGAGCCATGAAAGTTTTCACAGAAAGAGTTCAAGAGAACATTTGTGATAAAGAGAACAAAGCATAAAAAATCGAAAAGCTTCACTGGATTGTACTTACTTTCTTTGAGTTTTATTGCTTTCATGTAATTCTCTTCCGTGTGAACTGACTGATTTCAATGTTGAAGTATTCATGAATTCTTTCATTCGTGTAATTAATGTAAATGGATCAACAATTACATTTCCACTGATTTTTACAATAAATTTAGCTTGTGAGCAATATCTCTCACTCCATTTGAATGCTACTATTTCTTTGTAAAGTTGCAAATAGTCTAAATGATCTGGTATATCAAATTGTATTATATCTTGGAAATTTTGATATTCCCATTTTAATGTTTCATTTGTTATCGTCATGCTTGTACCAATAACAAATAGAGTTTTTAATGTAAAATTTTGATATGTACGAGAATGAGACCATGTACGACGTAATAAATCACGATATAATATATTTGATGCTTTTATGATAACTAGAGCAAGAATGTCCGTTTGTGAATCACATAATTTTTCACTATTACGAATTATGTGAATGTTTGATGGTGAACTGTAATAATAAAGCTGATCAGAGAATACTAAATACTCGTCAAAAAATGAAGAGTTCGATGAAGGTAGCAACTTTATGGAAAGAGATTTATTTACTAGATACATGACGAAGATAAACAATAATAAAAGCAAGAATAGAACAGTATATTTCGGTATCAAATACGATTTATTCTTGCTATAACGTGATTTAGTTATTATTCTCATAATTGAAAAGTTTGAAGCCATCTGATATAAAAAAAAATAGATATTTTCTGAGTCGAGTTACATCCAACATGAAATGATAGCTGTATATTTATTGTGATTGATACCTGAGAGATAAATACAATCAAAGTAATGTAATATGTTGAACGCTTACTCAATTACCAAGTTTCATTAACTAACAGAAAGAGTAAATGGAAATGGAACAAACGAAGCATTCATAGAATAATGTAAAGCGCCTTAACTAATGTATAATAAAAAGGGTTGGTGCTTATGCTAGTGTCGTACTTTCATCCGTTTTATCTATGATCTGCCAAGGTATGTCTATAAGGATGTCATCTCAATTTGTTTCTCAACATTATTGTCTTAATTCGCCCCTCATGTGCACGCATAGGCTTTTAAAATCAATCTAACAAACTGAACATTACATATAAAAGAGAACAAAAGGAACAATAATTACAAATATTTCACTTGGAGAAAAATAACATAATTATAATAGACATTGTATAAAGTTGGCATCATAATATATACAGAACACATTACTTATTTTTAAAGAAATAATTATGTTATCATTAAATAACTGGGCTTATTTTAAGAGTCACATTTAATAACAAGTTAAATATGAATTATTATTTCTTTTTTTTATACTGATCATTTGATATATTATTATTGTTAGTTTTATTGTTATTCTTTGGAAGAAAATAACGGCTCATGTTTATTAAAGTTTTCTCCATAACGATTGTATATAATGAAAAAATAAGCGTTAATATTTTGACATTTGGAAATACACTATTGAATGAATTCAAAATAACATATTCAAAATCTCATGTTAAAGCATTATAAAACATAACAACATTAAATTTTTTTCCAAGTGAACGGTAAATGCGTTAGAAATTTTTATATTTAACTTTATTTTTCATCATTGTTAAACAATACGTACATCAATGGTTATGTACAATTGAGCAAATAATAATAGTCGAACGTTAAATGTACCATTAGAATGCTATGATAAACAAGATAATAAAAACTTTATACTTCATTCTGACTTAAAAAGTCTTTGATTGATCATCACCATCTAGAAATAATTATAAAATTGTACCTTTAATTCGACAACGATATTCAACTTTAGCTTTTATCAACTCCTTAGGATAATTTTTTTGAAACCGTAAGTGTTTTTTCTCTTGGTTTCGTCTTCATTCGACCAATACCACTATCAACAATATATTGTATATGTACAGCTTGTTTCTTTACGAAAAATTTATTAATATTGTGAACATAATGATATTAATGAACTTGTACAATATCTATTATCACAGCACCATTTATTATGAATTTGATAGTTTTGTTCTTTATTTTAATGACAATCGTTATAATTTAATACTTTCTTACTTCAAGAAGAATGAAGCATGTACCTTTACGGGATCCGTAGATATATAGAGGCAATGGAAAACGATTCTGAATTGTCATTACTAAGAACTAACGAAACAGAAAAATTCTAAAAGCCTTTTGGCCACATTAAATGAAAACCAAAACCGGTTTGTATATTGATGCCATTCATCTCAATCTTGTTCTAATACTCATATTCTTATTCTTTTTTACGTCTAACATTCAATTTATTAAAGAAATTTAAAAGCCGAATAATTTAGTCTATATGTGCGCTTGAGGAGCAAAATAAGAAATGACAAACTGAAACTAAGAAAAAAAGTTATCTAATCTAAAAGTTATTCTGTAGAACTAGTTGAACAGCTAGTAAAGAAACTAGATGTCAACTACCCCCCCGGGCAGATTGAAAAGCCAACCGAACGAAACATTTCTTAGAAACACTTTATACACCGTTTGAATTCCTAGACAGCCTCAAATCCGTTAGAAATCATTTTCCTGTTTCCAGAGAGCCTTTCCAGAGAGCCTAGATTGTATTTCATTTTATATCTCGCTATTGAATACCATGATATTATTTAATTGTTAGATTACCATTACCTGTCTCAAACTCTGAGAATCTATTCCTCCACTTTCAGTTCATGTATACATTCCTACAATTGGTATTCATAGATTTAATAGTTGAAACTGTTAGACACGTAAAATGCATCCATCAGCTGATGCGTTATTTCATCATACGGTTAAGCTCTATAAAATACATACTCATTTTGTGGGATTGATTATGTAGTAGTTGAGAACGAGTGGCTGACTCGAGCAAGAAAAGTTAGTGAAAAGTAAGAAGAAGATTAGATGCCAACTACCTTTCGGGGAGATTGAAAAGTCGACTGAGTGAAACGTTAAAAAACAGACGAAATTAGAACATCCAGAAAGTCATAACTGTCTACGTATCTTATACAACATATTATTCACATGAAGTCCTCTCGATTTATCCCTAATTAGCTTTGTGAGATCAAACAACATCAAAGGTGATTTCAAAAGTGAGAGTGAGCAATTAGAGACGAATCGAGAGTAAACCATTCACATCGACATATCAGCTGATTCATTATCGTGTCATATATTCTATTATAGCTTTCATCACATACGGTACTGTAGCATATATTCACTATGAAGTGAATCACACGATGGTTAATTATCTCATAAAAAAACGATATAATATACTAGAATGTATAATATGATCATGAATCAGTTTATATAGCTGATTTAGCTGACATACCAGCTGATTCGTTATCGTATCTACTATATATCATATAAGCGCTGTAGTATATATTCACTATGAAGGATACCACATGACCATTAATTATTTCATAGAAAAGCGACAGGGTTGTCTCAAAAATATACTCCTTTTGTGGCACTAATTATAGGAGAACTAAAGCAAATATCCGAGCACTGACTTCAGATTGTTATCTGCAGTTCATCTACTTTCGAATCATTTTTTCCCTAAATGTGTATGATCAGGGATAACCGAGAACGAGTGGCTGACTCGAACGATCCCGAAAGAAAGAAAGGTCGAAGAATTTTGCTAGGCAACGGGCATAGTGGAACAAAATAAGTCTCCCTATCGTTTTCCTATCGTTAGTCGAAGAATATTTTGGGTGAAACAGAATAAGCCTCCTCAAGTTTCACTCGGTCGGCTTAATGAATAAAATTGGAAGATGAATGAGTGGGACTTATTTTGTTTCACTATGCCCGTTGCCTAGCAAAATTCTTCGAACTTTCTTTCTTTCTGGATCGTTCGAGTCAGCCACTCGTTCTCGGTGATCCCTGATCATACACATTTAGGGAAAAAATGATTCGAGAGTAGATGAACAGCAGAATCAGCGTACATTCTCCTTGAAAAAAAGGTCAAACTGTTATGACTTTCTGGATGTTCTAATTTCGTCTGTTTATCGTTCCACTCAGTCGACTCTCCAATCTTCCCGCAGGACAGTTGACTCTCTAGTTCTGTTTCGTCACAAATAATTCTTCTTCCTACCCTTTTTTTGTCAAGTCAGCCACTCGTTCTCAGCTATTCCTATTCGTATAGATTTGAGACAAAGATCAATAGAAAGGCTAAGAGCTGTGGATGACACATCTGAAATTAGTTTTTCGATGTATCTTTTAATTAACGTACTACATGAGTCCTGAAACCTGCGCATATTTTCAAGGACTCGATCGTTTTTCCTATGCGATAATTAATGGTCACATGACAATTCATATATACATATATGCAGTATATTCACTATGAACAATGTGTATTAAGTGCTCACATGCTACTTATCATTCTATATAGTTCTGTACAATTTGATACATTTATACCCTGTGACATTATAACCGATAGAATGCGTCAAAATGTTTACTACTAGAGGACTGCTGTGTTCTAACCGTATGTGAGGAATTCAAACGGTGTATAAAGTGTTTCTAAGAAATGTTTCGTTCGGTTGGCTTTTCAATCTGCCCGGGGGGGGTAGTTGACATCTAGTTTCTTTACTAGCTGTTCAACTAGTTCTACAGA